AGGCTTTCTGCTCCTGTAAAGATTTACAGCCTCGGAAACCCTGTTCAGGGTCACTATGGGTCGGAACCGACTCGAAGGCACTTAACAATAACAATATTAAGGAAAAAGAATATGGTTTCACATTCCAGACTGATTCTTGAAATCTAATACATTATCACAAAAGAAGACCGTTAGAAGTGTTTAATTGGAATGATAATGTCTTGGTCTCTTCACTAAATGCCTAAAACATTATTTTAAAAATAACAGCACTTCACTCCAAAAATGTTTAGAGATTCAAGGCAAGCCATTACTTTGGCAAATGCCAATCCTAATAGAATATTAATGAACTTGGAAAAGAACATAAAACAATGGGTTAAATATTTTTCAGCTTGTTTTTTAACATAAAAGTTGAAACATTCCCATGATATGAAGGCTGCTTCAAGGTTACAATATTATGATGTTCAAAATACTGAGTAATTTGGAAGATAGATCTTCCAAGAACATGAAAGTATTTTATTTCTCCGAAACAAAGTTCCTTCAATAAATTCAATGTTTTCCAATCTACCTAATTATTATTTTATTATTATTTAAATAGCTTAATATATAAACTGAGTAATATTTTTTCTAGGGAACCTTTAATTTTCTTTTAAAAATTATTCCTATTTCATAATATTGATAAATCACTGACACACTGATCACGTGAAGTAAAAATGTCTGGACTTCTCCTACTTAACTGCAGACTTTGGTGCTATACCTATCCGGCATTAAATCCTGAGTGCACCATTAAGAAATGTAAAACCTTGGATATATCACTTTATCTAAACTTCAGTTTTTTCATCTAACAGAATACTCACCTTGCAAGATTGTGGGGATTCAGAGAACACTAAAATGGGGAGCATTTGATTTGGTACAAGCATTCTGAAAAATGGACATGACCTAGAAAAGTTAGGCATGCTAATAGTTTATGTCCTAGAATTTCACTCCTAGATATTATATGCTGTTTTTCTTAGGTGCTATCAAGTCTGCTCCAACTCACAGTGACCCTATATATGGTTTCTGAGGAGCAGCTTGTAGATTTGAACCACAAATCTTATGTAGCAGTCCAGTGTTT